AGATCAAGAATACAAACTTTATGGGCCCAAGGAATATTTTGAAGTGTTGCAAACTGAATGACAAGGTATAATTGGCTTATGCCTTCAATCATGAGGTTAACAAAAATTAATTTCTTACAGCCTATTTGAGTGGAAAATACTTCTAAGCCCTTTGCAATTCTAATAATTCTGCGGAGATGGGGTGCTGTTATTATATATAGAGTTGTGTCAACTTAGTTCATAGTTTAGTTTACCAGTTCCTAAACGCATGAGTGGTTTCATAAATTTCATATTACTCATAGTGTGATTTCGTTATATTAGGCTGCAAAACCACAAGTGACTATCGTCAAAGTACTCCAGCATTGAAATGTGAATAAATCTTTTGTGTCTCGTGATACTTTGTGTAGACGGAAGAAAAGAGCAACATCAGCAGAAATGGTTCGAAAAGTAAAGAAGCGACTTGATCAAAAAACGCGTCGCAGTGGCCGAAAATGGCTCTTGAGCTTAACATATCACAGTATTCCATTCGGCAAATATTGAAAAATGAGCTCGGGGTGAAGCCAATGATATTCCAAAAAATGCAAGAACTTACACCGCAACAAGAAGAAAATAGACTCAAAAGAGCTAAAGAGTTGCTTGGCTTGGGCGAAAGCGGTGAACTGCCGAATTTTGGTTTGTTCCGATGAGAAAACATTCGTTATCCAGCAGTTTGTAAACAAACAAAATGATCGGGTGCACTTGTCAAGGAGCTTAGCTGAAAATGTGCACCTTCGGTTGGCCACCAGAACTCAAGCGCCGGCCATGGTGATGTTGTGGACCGCCATAACAGCCGATTGCCGCTCTCCGCTCGTATTAATCGACCGAGGCATCAGCACGCGCCACTCTATAAAGATCATCAAGAGGATCTATTTCGTTTCCTTCTGCGTGTTACAAACAAATTCACAAAAAACATAATACCATGTATGGCGTAGAGTGTAAATATTGCAAAGCCCCTCGCCATTCTAATAATTCAGGTGAGCTTTTACATGGTTGCTGCTATAATTCGATAGCATATAATTTTTTACACATGTGCCATACCCATTTAGTTCCTAACTATCAAATTTTGGCCAAGTGACTGGAAAATGTTGTCAAGATCTTTGACAGATCTCTTTCTTAATCAGGTGGACCAGTGCTAAGATACGATGGAGTGATTTAAGTGTCTAGCTTAAATTGCAAACCATTTTCCACAGACATACAGTGTAAAGAAACTATTTGAAAGAACTACAGAAATCAGTAGGAATCTCAGTAATCTCAAAACATGCAAATCGTCAAATTCGATTCGGATTAATAAACGGCTTCCATACATTATTTCCATCCGATTTCAAATTCCATATCAGTCAGGGCTGTCACAGAAAACATGTCGGTTTGGCTTATTGTCGTTTTTGTAAACCAATGTTGGTTTCATTTGGTGTCATGAAACCAAGTTGGTTTTGTCAATTTCGAATGTAAATAAAACCAATGTTCGAAACAGCTGTTGTTGCTTACATGTGTTGTTTGTTTATTTGTCATTGAAATATCAGTAAGAGTGAAGTAAATAAAAAAGGAATAAGTCGCTGTAAATAAAGTAAGATGGCATCAGCGGTGGTAGTTTTTGTGTTGTTGGACGAAGAACGCTCAGAAAAGGTGACGAGAAAAGCTCTTAGAGATTTCAGCAACCTACTGGCCGGAGATAGCGTAAGTAAATTTTTTTATTGTGAACTTACTCATAAAGCTGCTTTGCAGATTTATGGTTTATGGTCCTTAAATATCCTTTAAAAAAAACTTAAAAAAATCCACGTTTATAGTCCTTTAAAAAATCCACGTTTATAGTCCTTTAAAAAATCCACGTTTATAGTCCATTAAAAAATCCACGTTTATAGTCCATTAAAAAATCCACGTTTATAGTCCTTTAAAATTTTTTTTAAAAAATCCACGTTTATAGTCCATTAAAAAATCCACGTTTATAGTCCTTTAAAATTTTTTTTAAAAAATCCACGTTTATAGTCCATTAAAAAATCCACGTTTATAGTCCTTTAAATTTTTTTTTAAAAAATCCACGTTTATAGTCCATTAAAAAATCCACGTTTATAGTCCTTTAAAATTTTTTTTAAAAAATCCACGTTTATAGTCCATTAAAAAATCCACGTTTATAGTCCTTTAAAATTTTTTTAAAAAATCCACGTTTATAGTCCATTAAAAAATCCACGTTTATAGTCCTTTAAAATTTTTTTAAAAAATCCACGTTTATAGTCCATTAAAAATCCACGTTTATAGTCCTTTAAATTTTTTTTAAAAATCCACGTTTATAGTCCATTAAAAAATCCACGTTTATAGTCCTTTAAAATTTTTTTAAAAAATCCACGTTTATAGTCCATTAAAAAATCCACGTTTATAGTCCTTTAAATTTTTTTTAAAAAATCCACGTTTATAGTCCTTTAAAATTTTTTTAAAAAATCCACGTTTATAGTCCATTAAAAAATCCACGTTTATAGTCCTTTAAAATTTTTTTAAAAAATCCACGTTTATAGTCCATTAAAAAATCCACGTTTATAGTCCTTTAAAATTTTTTTAAAAAATCCACGTTTATAGTCCATTAAAAAATCCACGTTTATAGTCCTTTAAAATTTTTTTAAAAAATCCACGTTTATAGTCCATTAAAAAATCCACGTTTATAGTCCTTTAAAATTTTTTAAAAAATCCACGTTTATAGTCCTTTAAAATTTTTTTTAAAAAATCCACGTTTATAGTCCATTAAAAAATCCACGTTTATAGTCCATTAAAAAATCCACGTTTATAGTCCTTTAAAATTTTTTTTAAAAAATCCACGTTTATAGTCCATTAAAAAATCCACGTTTATAGTCCTTTAAAAAATCCACGTTTATAGTCCTTTAAAAATTTTTTAAAAAATCCACGTTCATAGTCCTTTAAAAATTTTTAAAAAATCCACGTTTATAGTCCTTTAAAATTTTTTAAAAAATCCACGTTTATAGTCCTTTAAAAATTTTTAAAATCCACGTTTATAGTCCTTTAAAACATTTTTAAAAAATCCACGTTTATAGTCCTTTAAAAATCTTTAAAAAATCCACGTTTATAGTCCTTTAAAAAATCCACGTTTATAGTCCTTTAAAAATCTTTAAAAAATCCACGTTTATAGTCCTTTAAAAAATCCACGTTTATAGTCCTTTAAAAATCTTTAAAAAATCCACGTTTATAGTCCTTTAAAAAATCCACGTTTATAGTCCTTTAAAAATCTTTACAAAATCCACGTTTATAGTCCTTTAAAAAATCCACGTTTATAGTCCTTTGAAAAATCTATAAAAAATTCACGTTTATAGTCCTTTAAAAAATCCACGTTTATAGTCCTTTAAAAAATCTTTAAAAAATCCACGTTTATAGTCCTTTAAAACATTTTTAAAAAATCCACGTTTATAGTCCTTTAAAAATCTTTAAAAAATCCACGTTTATAGTCCTTTAAAAAAATCTTTAAAAAATCCACGTTTATAGTCCTTTAAAAATCCACGTTTATAGTCCTTTAAAAAAATCTTTAAAAAATCCACGTTTATAGTCCTTTAAAAATCCACGTTTATAGTCCTTTAAAAAAATCTTTAAAAAATCCACGTTTATAGTCCTTTAAAAAATCCACGTTTATAGTCCTTTAAAAAATCTTTAAAAAATCCACGTTTATAGTCCTTTAAAAATCTTAAAAAATCCACCTTTATTGTCCTTTAAATGTCCTTTAAAAATTCTTTAAAAAATCCAAGTTTCAAGTCCTTTAAACATTTTTTAAAATATCCACATTTGTAGTCCTTTGAATATCCTTTAAAAATTGTTTAAAAAATCCACATTTTTAGTCCTTTGAATATCCTTTAAAAATTGTTTAAAAAATCCAAAGCAAATGAAAAGTGACAGCTCTAAGCAACTTGTTTTATTTCCAATAACAAAACCAATAATATTGGCTTCTATGACAACCAAAACTGATAAAATTCTAATTCGAAAATAAAACCGATAACATTGATTTTCATGACACCAAATCATTTTTTCTTGTCGTTTTTAAAACCAATAGTGACAAAATTGGTTTCTATGACAGCCCTGAGTGTCAAAGACAAAGAAATACGCGAATGAGAAAAATTGCCGTATGTATTGTAGTTTCGGAAAATGAATGAATTCGGAATGAATGTTCCAAATATATATATTTTTAAAGTAACATACAAAATAATTGTGATTAGAAGAACTCCCTGCTCACTCCTTTAAATATTCCGATTTATCTTATTGGCTCTATTAAGTTTACTAATCCAACAGCAAAAATGGACTTTAAGTCTATTTTGAAATTTAGGTAGTTCAGGCTTTAATGAAACAATGACTATTAATCTATGCAGGATGGCTATTAATCAAGCGGAAAGATTGATCATTTAATTGAGAATGCGTAATCAAATAGAAATCCATTTATCATATAACCTGAGTATATTTTCAAATAAAGCATTTTTCGCTTTAAATTTTTTGCCGAAAATTATTCCTTTTATTCCGACTATCGAATTTGGTTACCACATATTCGAATTTAACTGCAAAAGCAAACACAGCTAAAAATAGTAATACGATTTACCTCAAACGAGTTCTGCTGGTCTTTAACACGTATGAAAATTTACGACGTCATAACAATGCGTTTATGAAGATCTACAGCTAGTGTTGCTATTGTTTTATTTCATTTTAATGGATGTTTCTCCTCCTGCTATTTTTCTTGCTTTTATGTCTATTTTACTCTAACTGACTTTTTGTGTATTGTGTTTTGTTTCTTCTCTTCCATACTTCTATGTGGCCTTTGCTCTATGGCCGGCTGGAAACTTGACTTCCTAAACACACTTACGTAACCCACCTACTCCCACTCGCAATGTACTGCACTCTCATCATAATGTAAATACCATGTATTGCCCTTTTTATCTTTGCCAACATGTGCCGGCATTTTTGGGTCGCTTTGTATGTTGCCGATTGTCCCCGGTCGCCTGCAGGAAGTAACACGAGCTCACAAAGGATGGGCACTTGACTCGGTCGTATTACAAAACCAAATAACTCGCTACAACAAGGAGGACATCACCGAGTATCCCCAGGAAGGTGTATATGTTTATGGATTGTTTTTGGAGGGTAAGTCCAACTGAATATGAATGGAAAATATGAATTGAAATTTAATGTGGAAATTTGTTGTGGCAAATTAATAGTGAAAATTTATGTAATTTAAATTAATTTAAATTGAATGACTGTTCATTGGGGCGTATGATACACCAAAAGGAAATTAATGAATTTTCATACGCCATGATGTCGCATTGCATTCAATATATTAAGTTAAAATATGTAAAATTTTTATACCCTACACCACAAGGTGGTCAGGGTATTATGTCTTTGTGCATTTGTTTGTAACAGGCAGAAGGAAACGAGATAGACCCATAGTTCCTTTTGATTATCTGCATAGAATCACATTCTGAGTCAATTTATGCATGTCCGTCCGTCCGTCTGTCCGTCCGTCCGTCCGTCCGTCTGTCCGTCTGTCCATGTATTTTTGTAAACAAAGTACAGGTCGCATTTATTGCCCGATCCAGATGAAATTTTGCACAGATCATTTTTTTGGCCCAAGGACGAACCCTATTGAAATTGGAGATAATCGGTCAAAATTTAGATATAGCTCCCATATATATCTTCGTCCTATTTGCCTTTTATTGTGCACCAAACGTGTAATATCAGTCCGAATTGTATGGAATTTTGCATACACACCCAAATTAGGCCTGAAAATATGTATGCCGAATTTGATCGAAATCGGTTCAGATATAGCTATAGCTCCCATATATATTGTTCATCATATGCACTCGGCAACAACAATATTTGGGGAAATAAATCAAATACAGCTCAGAAACACATTTGCTAAATTTTATCGAGATCGGTTCAGATTTGGATATAGCTCCCATATATAACTTCGTCCGATTTACCTTTTATTGTGCACCAAACGTCTAATATTTGTCCAAATGGGATGGAATTTGGCACTTACGACCGAATTGAGTCTAGAAGCTAGTATGTCAAATTTGGTGAAGATCGCTTCAGATATAGCTATAGCTTCCATATATATTATTCGTCCGATTTGTTATATTTGTTACCCACAACCGTAATATGCACTCCGCAACAAATTTTATCGAGATCGGTTCAGATTTGGATATAGCTCCCATATATATCTTTAACCGATTTCAAATTAATTGTGCACCAAATGGGCAATACAATTCCGAATTTAAAAGATACAAATGTTTCGGCAAATTTAGTCCTTTGAACTTTATATCATAGCGTGTATGATTGAATTCTCCCATAAAAACTTTTAATTGTTATGTGGAGCTCTACTAAATTAGCAAAGTGGTGTAGGGTATCATAAAGTCGGCTTCGCCCGACTTTAAGACTTTCTTTACTGGTTTGAAATTAAGATTCCTTGCAATCCGTTCATTTTAGGTATGAAGTGTCTTTAGCAACATTACTGATTACAATACGAGGATTATTTAGTGTAAAATCAGCGAGTTAACAATGGAGGTGAAATTGAAAATGGAGGTGGGGTTATGGTCAGAATATTAGCTTTTTGCATTTGGAGATGATCGCAAAATATTTAGGGAAAATTTTCCTGATTTTGCTGTACAGGTCCAATTATAGACCAATCGACGCGGAACTTAGCATGGGGCTGGTCAGAAGCCTTCCAATTAGGATGGTCATCGGTTTATATTTAGTGGGTGAAATAGATTTGTGTTGAATAAAAGTCATTTTTTCCATTAAATCGCAAATATTTTTTATCCCGGCGAAATCGCAAATGGACGAAAAGGTTTATTCTGACCATTACGTAGATACTGATAGTAAATATTTCGGACATATATTGCGAAATATGTACAATGTGTATATGCAAAGGATGGGGATGTTAGCTAGAATGCTTATATCTCAAGAATGTCTGAACCGATTTTGGCAAATTTTGTTAATTCAGAACGCCCTCTTCACAAAAAAAAAATGTCAATAATGAAGCTAATATGTTATTATATAAAAATGTCCGCAATATATTTAGGGGTTGAAATTGTGATGATGTTCCTGATTTTGCAAACGTTATAAAGATCACAAATAGAAAAGGAAACGAAATCTCGCATGAAGTTAGAGTTAAGGACAGCGGGTAGAATGGACCACTACTTTTGTGTGAAAAAATACCAACATAACTTTCAGGCGAACTGTTATGAAGAATACATTTGCCTTTGAAATCAACATTATACCTTGTAGGATTACTTACATAAAGTACGGCTTTAATGTGGTGATTAGGTAAGATATAGTTTTTGGTTGTCTACTGGGAAACTGGGAACATTTTGACTTCCTACGATCCCATTTTAAGGAAATTTTTAACCATATCTTGAAAAAAATCTCGCTTGATTGTTAAAATTTCCTACCAAACATAGAGAGCGGAACTTTTCCATTCCAATTAAGTTTCTTTGCGAAGTAAGCTTTCAAAATCCGGATACACGTGTCTTATATTTTTAGCTATACTTTCAAATTCTGCTCAGTTTTTCCTGTTATTATTGAAAAATGGATTTTTGACGCATACCCTCAAATAGGAATAAAATTTAGGGTATAACTAAGTTCTAGCTCTTTCTAATTGCTCAATACTAATACTTTTCGTTCCTTTAAAGCACAGCTTTCCCAAAAATATTTAGTATACTATGAAATTCAAAATCCTAGCTGTTACCTATCGCTTAGTAACAATGTTAAACAATTTGCACGCATTACTAATTTTCTATCCCTTTACGTTCCAATTTCCAAAATTACAGATTTGGAGCAAAAGTAGCTTTCGTGTAAATTTTCAAATGCATGTTTAGAACATATGTTAATAAATGTTAGTACTTTTTGTACCCTTATATGTGCTTTACATATTTCAAAAATTCCGCCACCCTGACACGCCTGATGGGGGATGTTTTAGCGATGCCATACCCAAGTACTAACGAAAGCATCCTAGAGTAAATGGTTCACGGAAGTCACAAAAATCAACTTATCAGGCTTGAATTTAGGAATTCTTTTCTATTGCATTAGTATTCGCAGACCACTGTTCGTGCTGGGCCTTCTTAGTACCCAATATGAATAATATGTTTAGTTTAACAAATTCTTTTAATAAAAATTTCATACATCGTATGACCATAACCATATGGTTACAGAGGGTATATATCATTTGATACGGCCAAAACGTGACATTGGAATAACGGTTTTAGGCCCTAGGTCTTCTTGGACCAACTCTGTAGATCTTTTGAGTCTATTTTCTTTCTGTTGCGGTGTAAGTTCTTCCACTTTTTGGAATTTCAATGATTTTACCCCGAGCTCATTTTTCAATATTTGCCGAATGGAATATTGCGATATGTTCAGCTCACGAGCCATTTTTCGGCCACTGCGACGCGGGTTTTGATCAAGTCGCTTCTTTACTTTTCGAACCATTTCTGCCGATGTTGCTGTTTTCTTTCGTCCACTTCCTTGACGTCGGGCTACGCTAGCAGTATCACGGTAACGAGCGATGGTACAAAAGATTTATTCACATTTAAATGCTGGAGTGCTCTAATGATAGCCACTTGTGGTTTTCCAGCCAAATATAAAGAAATCACACTATCACGTTTGAATTCCATCACGAATAACTTCTTTTCTGGAAAATTCTCACCAAAATGCTTTTGTACACTTGTAAACAATATAATGAGCTGTAACTGGAATAATTTTAATAACTGTCGGATGAGTGGCTTGGAAATGACAGCATTCTGAAGTTGGTTGCAGTTTTTCATCTCACCCTGTAGATAGCTATGGCCGATAGATTCTTCTCATTAAGCTCAGCGAGATATGTCTGTGGACGATAGGCATGGAGGACCGTTTCCGTACCACTTAAACAAAATCAAACATCTAATTGGTCCACTCGTTATAGGTTCTCCCTGATATTCGGTCAAATTTTGAATATTGGGGTCCAATTTGGATACAAAATTTATTGACTTGCCTTTACTGGTTGCTTTTTGTACTGAATTTGGCTGCTCCGCCTACCAAATTGATGCTGCGACGCCAAAGGTACACAATAATGAAATCTACACAATTTGATAGGCGTTTTATGTCCTTTCTTCTTTGTTCTATTGTCCTTTTTTAAACAAAATTAAATACTTTATTTTATTCTCATATTTCGGTTTCCTTTTTTACAAAAAATTCTTCACAGTGCAATATATTCTTGGAAATGAACTCAAAGTGTGAAGATAACTGGACAATGCCCTGAGAAGCATTCAGAAATACTTAGAAAACACCTTTACATAATAACGAAATGTTGCTGTTCATAATGATGCCTCAAATGAAAATATATATATTTTTTTCAAATATTCTATGGCAACGAATGTTCATTGCTGCTGCATTTGAATTCTTGTTCTTGTTTACATGATATTCTAATAAAGTAGAATTTTTTACAGTTTCAAGAAACCCCAACCGACCGACCAACTTCATGAACACACATATTTATGTGTATGAATATTTCTGGCTTTACCTGGAAGTTGATTATTTTTTTTGAACATCCACTTGGCTACCTTCAAAGACTGCACTCCAACACACACACACACACTCATCTGACATACCATTAATTCAGTTGATGTGCATGCATACATACATACTTATGCATCTTTACAAGTGTGGTCATCTGCATACATATAAAGCTATCACTTCAATGGGGAAGAAGATACACGACGTGACTTACCTTCACTACAAGGAAATCTTGTTGCATGCAGATGCTTCTGCTTGTTTCGTTACTTTCGAAGCTCTTTTTTTCGGGGGAGAGAACGTCACTCAATCGTGTTTTCCACATGAGAGGAATAAATACTTGATTATTGGCATAACAAATTGCCAGCACTTTAACCAGATACTGATGGATAGTGACGAATTATTTTAAGTATTTAATGTGCCACAACAACAGCAACAACAACCACACATCATCATCAGAAGCAAAAAACATTGCATCACTCAACTTAATTTTTATAATTGAAGATAAGCCAATTATTTTCACATTCCCATTAGGGAATAAGGTAAGAAGATGAAAAGGGAAATGGAAGTCTTAAAAAAGAAAACTTATATTTTTAAATAGT